GCCTAATTGAGTCGCTTACTATGTATGATAAACTTGCACCTTAAAACGTTTTCTATACGTTAAGCCATGTAACCGCAATAACATTTTTCAGTGTCCTTCAGAAATTTTATAGAGGCCTTTCACGCTCGCCAAACTCATAAAAATTGTCTAGGGAAATCTACATGTCTACAAACGCTCCCACACAACTTCCCAGAATTTTTTGGAATTTTTTTTTTGATAATTTCATTATAGGCTGTGGTCGGAAGTTCTTGCCGTAAACCCACAGTAAAAAGCTATAAAAGGCTTGCCCAGTTGTAAATTTGAGTTTCAGTTTACTCTACTAGTGGTTTCGAAGCTAAGCAAAATGCTTTGTTGGAAAAGATTTAGTAACAATTGCAAAAGTGTACTTACTTTTAAGACAACCAGTGTTAGAAGATGAATACAACAGGAGGAGAATCGGAGCTGACAAGAATACCGCATACGTGTGCTGAAGTTATCTGAAGACCTTTTTCAGTTTTTCACCGATCGTTCTCAGGTTAAAAACCATGTCTCATAGAAAAAATGTACGTGAGTCCAAAAGGCCAACCACATCCCACAATATTTCAAAAAGGTATTAGAGCAATCTTGTAGCACCAAAGCACTGATTCATTTGGTAAGCAGCTGACCCGCAAGTCATATGTCATCGCTTCATTCGTTTTACAAAGATGATCTAATTAATCTAATCACTTGATTTTTATTCGCCGTCAAAACAAAGAAATTGCAAATGTATGTGCCCCGAGTTTCTTCTCATACAAATCTTTTTTCTTAGTTTGCAAAATTACTGTGGTACCCGTAACATGAATGTATTTATGTCGTCATCTCGATTTTGCTTCACAAATTCGACTACACTCTCACACTACCCATTTGTCCTCCACCATATATTTTATTGCAGATTAGGGTGATAACCAAATTTACTTTTCTTTTGCTTCCAAAGTTGTAGGTAACGATCAATCAGAATCATCTCATGCAGGGCTCGGCACAGGTGGCTTGCAAAGCAAGCTGGATATCGTTTTTGGGGGAAAAAGCAAAGGGGATATCGTTTTTGCGGAAGAGCATAACACTGTCTTTCGATCCGCTGCCGGCATGCCGCCAGCAAATAAACAAAGGGTTTGTTTACAGCGAAGTGAAGATGAAATGGCACCAAAATAGGTGTGTAGATGGGCAGTGGGGAGTCAGGACTATGTATGAAAAATTGTGAAAGAATTATGTGAACTAAGGGCATGGCAAACTTTTTTCGGGGTTAGGTGGCTTTCAAGCCACCTGGATAGCCACCTGAGGTGGCTTAGTGCAAACAAAGTCATATAATTCCTATTATTCACATAATTTTTCCAAATTTTTTACATAAAAGTAATCTACATCTAATATTCTACAAAAGAGCTCTTGCACCTCTCCAAACCCTCTCCTCCCCGCCTAGTTATAGCCCTCCAAATTATCTGGATGGCAGCGGTAAAGGTGCTCCAAGCTCGCGGTGGTGCGCGGCGGACACAGCATGCCGCCAACCCGGAGAATACAAACAACCACTAGCTCTTATTGCCTATTTATTGTCGGTCTTCTATTCTATTTCATTCTTTTTGTTTTCATGTTTGATTTGTTCGTTAGCGTGTCAAGGGGGATGTCGTACTTTCGTGGCGAAGTCAAGGGGAACTTCGTTTTTTGCATTTTCAACTTGCCACCTCGTGCCGAGCCCTGATCTCATGTCCGCTGGTTGCTAATGCCATATTATTGGATTCTCGTTGTCATAAGATTTTTGAGGAATCTTTGTGACATTGTCGGAACCACTACTGAAAACGCATTTTTATTGGCGTTATAGCTTCTATAATGCGGTTTATTTAAACGGTAAATTTATTAGTTTTAAAATTTTTTCAATTACTCATGACATATCAGAAGGCAAACCTGGGGATTAGAAGCACAAGACCGGGTTAATTTGTTTCTTCTTCGCAAATTGTCATTTTTTTAATTTGCCCAATGCTTGCACATAGATAATCCTAAGGACGACGTTTAGAGGTTTTTTTTACTCAGATACATTGAAGAAACGTAAATGAATCTACTGGAGCGATCGCGGTGGCAATTTGGAACAAAATGCATATCATTAAATGTCTTGCTGAGCTGGAATTCAACCTAGCTTCATCGTCTGCAGCGGGATATTCTGGAAGAAGCCATAAACGTTTGAAGGTTTAACTAATGCAAACGTTTAGTGACAACCTCTCAAGAACTAGCTATTTGAATGCACTTTTCTTGTTTCTGATTGATGCGAGTATTCCTTGCAGCCATCACACTGAACTCCTTATACACTTACAGCTGATTTTATTGCACATTACGCCTTAGAGCCCAACGACTTCACACATTTGATCGCTCACAACTTTTTACAAAGAATCTAAAGCAGATAGAGGAAGCGGATTTAAAATCAGCTCATCGAGACGCATCTAATGATATGCATTTTACTCCAGTGCTCTACTGGATTTGGGATCCTTCCTTCTATATATGCGCTAGCGATAAAGACGACTGTGGGTAATTCGAGTAAAACTGAAGTTTTCAAATGCGATTTGTATTACAAACAACGCGCTACTGTCGTTATCGGTGTAAAGAAGTTAATAAATAGTTTTGTAGGTTTATCGGGAATTTAAAAAAGACTGCAAAATTGTTTTACTGAATGGAAGACTATTTTCTACAATTTGATTGTTTTCTGAACAAAGTCTACGATACATATTCGTTTTGCTTGGACGATTGCTTTCTCAGAATAGCTTTTTTGTCTGTACCATGCCCATTGGCTTGGACGACTCCTCTTTGATAGTTGATCTCTCGGTCTGTACAGCATAGCAGCAGGTTCTTCGTTTGAGTTGTAAGTTTGTTACTAAAAACCACTTATAAAGGCTGTTTTTGATTTAGAACGGATTAGTTGCATAGACCTTCTATGTGGTATTAAGACAATAATGAATTTAATGTTGTTATATATTTAAAAAATTTTGATATTGCCTCAGATCGATTAAAAGACGTTGTTGGTTGATGTCGTTTAGAATGCATAAAATGCACTGACATGAGACGGTTGCCTAACATACTGTATGGCTAACATTCAGCCATACCGAGCTTTGAATTCCGTTTTACCAACCTTCTTGCAAAATAAAGTGCATGCAATCTTTTTTTATTTTCTCGTGATCTTATTGTGTATCCAAATCGGTAAATTAAAAAATTGTTCTTGGTTGAGACTAGGACACGTAATCAAGCTATGCGACAGTGTTGTAGATTGGCGTTTTCGAAATCATTCAAAATTGCAGAGAAATTTTAAATTCGAGGCTATACAAGGTGCACCAATTAGATACCTGCGCCAACTTACCACGAAGGGCTGAGAAATACAAGCTCAAACTTGTTTCATAGAAGGCCTAATCAATCTTTGCACATTACATTTTATTAAATTCAAAAAGAGCGTTTTCAGTGATTTAAGAATCCAAAAAATCAAACCAGCATTTTCAAGAAAAACAAAAGTGGAATTTTTATACCCTCATAATTTGCTCTGTGACTAAACGAATTTGAGCGCTTTCTAACCTTTCCAAAACGTTGTAGAGCACAATTTGCATTATCACATAGGACTAGTTGCATTTGCAGATTTTTCTTCATGAAATAAGAAAATGTATTCGCGAAAAATTCTGCGCACGAGCAATGACCTTATGTTAAAGGCCGATTATTAGGCCCCGGATATGCAAAACCTTTCAGGTGAAAAACAATTCTCTATTTATGAAATATGTGAATAGTATTTAATTGAAGCCGATTAGTTGAAGGAATTTTGATTTTGATTTAGAAGACATTTTCTAATTTTAGGAATTAAAAAGGCTGAAGTTACACCAATTTTCGGTATGCTGTCTCTTAACCATGTCTTTAAAAAATCAAAAATCCTTTCGAATCAATTCTCAAAAATCCTTACTTAACAATGTTAGAGGCGAAGGCTTGCTTTACTTTCGCGCACAATTACAAAGCAACAGAAAAGGATATCAAAAAAAGTCATATAAATTCTCAAAGTCTTGTGTACAGAGTACACTTCAGTTGTCGAGCGAGATTGGGATTTTTTCGAGAGATAAAGCAGCCAATTTTTGATTGGACTATTGCGTTACGATAATGACGCTTAGTAAAAACAAGCCCATACTTGGTCCACCCTTAAGGCCCTTCTTCTGAGCTTCTGGCACCCAATGAAACGCCTGTGGTTTTGGCGCACCCTTAGTATGGTAGGGTTCTTATTTTCTGCTTATCAATCGATAAGGTTCTCGATTATGCATAGTGTTGTGCAGCAAATACTTTTTAGTAGAAACTCACTTGTCGTCTCAGATTTTGGACATACCCCGTGTTTTCAGTTTTTCAATGTACTTATATTGATAATCATGAATGACGCATGTGTAAGATCCTTATAGTTCCTATTGTAGTTCTCGCAGTATATTTAATAGATAGGTAACAGGTAATTTCTTTGAAGCTTGAGGGCATATCTAAAAGCCAAGTAAAAAAAAACTGCACTACATGTTTTGTAGCATTTATTTCTGATCGTTTGCGAATGAAGGAAATCCATAAATAAACTCATATCGATTACTCTTCATTGAACAAGAGCGTATTATTTATGGACTTTGCGTATGTAGACGTTATTCAATTCATATTCTTATGCATTAATTGATTGGGGGCGAAAAAAATCCTAAGCAGTTCGATGCGAAGGCAAGTGCAGCGAAATGTTATCTGAACCTCTCCGAAAATTTTTTCAAGTTCACGAAAAAAATGCAGTTGTGTATAATAGCCCAACCCTTTATTAAGGAATGCAGACGAGCAAATATTACGGTCACAATACAACAAGCGAAACTACTATTGAACTCAAATGGCCGCTTTCAAAGCCGAGACTACTCTTATTTCTGCAAAATTTCAGCAGAAATTTGTCGCCAAACGTTGAGTATGCCTAGGTACTCAAACGATCACAAACATTTGAGGATCAGATTTCTCAGTAAGTCTCTGATCTAGCAATCGGTTTTGCTCATGCCACCCCTAGTACCGTTGTCTGAGTAGAGCACGCCCGCAATGTAGAGGGTTTGGTTCATGTCGCTCGAGCCAGCAGTAACGTTGTCGTAGTAGTAGGTGCTTCCAGTGAAGATCTCGCGTATGGGAAAGGATCCACAGCAAATTCCCTCACAAGCACAGCGGTGAGTGAATGCATACGCATGTAGAAAGGTGTATCCGGTCACGTTGTAGACGTCGCCAAAGTAGAGTCTGTGTTGACCTGAATAAGACAAAAATCACAATTATTTTGCAACTACTGTAAGTTTTTCTGCAAATTCAATGAAAACAATTCTTGTTAGAGAACTTGAGAGTTAGCATCGCAGTCTATTGAGCTATCGTTAAAATTTGAAGGAAAAATGTTGTAAGCAAATTTTATTCTCTGCTTTCTTTCGCTTTCTAGAATAGCACCACTGTTCACAGTTATAATGAAGATTTTAGCAAGATGTTTGGAATCTTACATAAAATTAAGTGATTTTCGACACTTACTCGCTCTTGAAAACACGGGAACTGAAACGCATTCTGGATTGGGTTCCTTCGCGAACACATATCTGAATAGCTCTAGCTTGCAATTACCTATCTTATTACATGTTCTGTTTGTCTCATTTGGTGTGTAACTATGAGATTAATAAAATGTTTTTGGTGTACCTTTACAGAGCAACGAACTTTTTAGATTAGTTGCTGTCTTACTCGTTTTCCTTTTGCAGGTTAGATGAAACGAGTAATTGAATGTTGATCATGTTTCAGAATTTGCAAATTGCGGAATCACGTTTTTCCAACATCGGCGTAAATGAAAGCCCTTGAAAGCCAAAGAAAAAAGAATTTTACCTGCTTCCGGGACTAGCAGGTAATTTTGAGATATCACTTAGGTAGAACCAGGAGTTGCCCAAATAAAAAGCTTTTATGATGGTCAGTGATGCAGTTGTGTTTATAGCAAGCAGCTGCGCCTTTCTAGACTCGCTCTGTGCCACGGTTGGCTTCGGGAGTTGTCGAAATTCCACATCTGGAGCAAGTGGCAAAGGACGCTCGCATGTTGGTAATGCTAGCTGCCGATCAAGCTCATATACATTACCGCGTCCAACCTGGTTGACTTCACCACTTTTGAAAATTGTGCACACATTCTGAAATAAGCCAGAGGGTTATAGGAAGGAGAAAATGAATGAAGGAGAACTTTAGGTTTTGATCAAAACAAGAGATAAACATTTCCACCTGGTTGTATTGGACGAAAGTGCAGTCAGATTCTTCGAAGCATGTGCGAAGACATATCTCTTCGCTTTCTTTCGGCAGCTCGTACTTGATCGTTGCAAGGAAATCACCTTGAAATTTCGTGAACGTATTCGGATTTGCTCCATGAATCTGTAAGGTGATTTTCAACTTCGTCTCCAAGAATTATGAAGATATGTAGTTTGGATCACGGTCGAACCAAAAAGATAGAGCAATTTGCTTAATGTCAAAAGTTCTGCTTCTTGTCAAAAATAAGTTATTTGAACTACTTGAACAATGGATTCATTCTGCACAAAATTGCCCTTCTTAAATACTTGAATTTTAAACAAGAGTTTCGAAGAAAACTTTTGATCTCTGCTAATATCATTGATACAACATTCGTTCTGGAAAATTGTTCACGTGTGGTTATATAAACAACAAGATTATTTGACTTTGTTATTTGTAAAATGACAGAAATTTCAAAAGTATAGCTTTGCCGTAATAATTTCGATACAGTACGCATTATACCGTGTTTTGGTTCAGCAAGCCCTTTATCTGATCAGTCAACCACAAGATGCTTATGACAAGGTACCTGCATCATTAGCGTTGCAATGAAGACCACAGTGTTTTTTGTCGACATGGTTGGGAGCGTGAACCCTAGTTTCACTGAAGTGTACAGAAATTACAGATTTTCAGAAACCCAGCAAAGTTTTTCGCAAGAGTTACTCTTACGGTGATCCAACAATTCGTTTCGCTATAAAAGCTTGAGAAAACAATTAAATGGTTTAAGAGGATCCACAACTGTGGAAGCTAGTCAGCTTGAGCCACTTAGGTAGTAGCCCAAGCCAGCTAGCTCTACGAATTTTGCTTGGATGAGAACTCCACCTCCTCGTAGGTCTTATATATGAGCCGTTGCTAAGGAGGATCTTAAGGGCGGACTCTTTAGGATTGAGAGGTCCGCCCCTCTTTGTATCCACAGAATTGACCAATCACACAAGCGTGCAGCTACAGTACACAAACACGCCCAAGATTGCACAGGGGCTACTGGAGCAAAATGTAAAAAGTGGAAACACTGATTTTTTGGATTATTAAGGTTAGAAGCTGATTGAAACTACTTTCCACACTCTGAATTTTTACACCCAACAAACTAAGTTGTCCCGAAAGTTTTGTCGGTTTTTTATGAACGAATTTAAAACCACGCAGGATAAAGGCCTAAACAAGTTTCAAAATGCATTTTGGATGCAGTCTTTCCTTCTCTTTCTTATTTTTACATTTTCGAACCAAAATCCTTTGCGCTTTTTTTTGATAATTGACAAAACTCTTCACCCGTCATTTCTGTCTGCTCAATGTTCGGCTAATTTTCAAAAACTTAATGTAAAGTTTAGGAAAGGATAAGATTAATGAATTTCTCGGATTATACAGTAATAGTTTTTTAAGTTTTTCTGGCTTGCTGTTTTTAGCTCCAAATAAATTTCTTTGGAGACTCCGACTTTTGGTGAAGTCATGAAACAGCAAGTGCAGCAAAAACCTGAAAGCTTCCAAAGTTTCTGCGAGTTAAAACTTGGTTGTTCTAACCATAAGCCTTGTTCGTGCAACATGATCAAGTCTAAATTGAACTGAAAAATCGGCTACGTGATACGCAACGATACGATGATACGCAACTAAGCTTGTGATTACGTGTTTTAATCCAAAAAAATAGTTACGTATCACAAAATCCAACATCTTTTTGCGCAAATATGATAATGGCGATGCGCTTGTGTTCCAGCCATAATCGAGATAGAAGGTACTGAAGAAATTATTGATGCACATTTGATTTTTATTGCAATGTTTTGGAGTCATACAAGATGTTTGCAAATTCTTCTCTTTACTGTAAGTTCTGGAGATCAAATTAATATTGGTAAGTTCATTGCTGTTACAATTTGTATAAATGAAGTTGAATGTCTGTTTGTCTGCATATGTGTATGTCTCTATGTAACCTTGATTCAACTGGCTTGGCGGCTGGAAGGCGGGACTTTCCTAATTAAGGCCGCTTGCGCCCGCTGCGCAGTCTGCGTCTCTCCCGCGCTCGCGCTCTCTGGTCATACCTAGCCCTAATCGGGTTACAAAGCCCCGCCTTGCAGTCACCAAGCCAGTCAAATCAAAGGGTACGTATGTTCCGAATAGAAATACTCATTTTAAACCGATCTGGATCACACCTGAGGCCATATACACTTCGGGGCGCGGGTGTAGGCTACTTTTCGTCATTGATCGACATCGACTTTATCGATTTTTTGCAAAGTCTCAACTACGAGACTGGGAGTTGGTACCAGGGATAAGCGAGCATTCTGATCAAGAAAACCTTGACTACAGGGCCGGGTGGAGTTTGTTTTGCCGACCAGTTCATTATAAATTCAGCACTGCAAGGCCGAGACCGGCGAAGACCGGCGAAGAAGATATGGCGTACTTGACACTGATAACTACATGCAATGAGATTGCTAAAAGATGTGAAAGAGTTATCAGTGATAATAGTTGAATTTCAGAGTGTTTCAAGACGGCCACCGCTTATGTCAAAACGCTTGTCTTTTACAGCTGCGAAAATCCTAATGCACTTCACTATTTCCCTTGCCAAGGGAAGAGACCATGATTTAGAGTCTGATCCGAAGCTGTGACTTCCTGAATCCACGCTTCCTTGCAATTATATTCAGTGTTTTGATAAGATTTGCAGGAGTCAGCTATTGTCGAACTTGACAAAACACCTTTACAACGCCTTGAAATTATATCAGTCTGAATAGCTCTGAAACCAGTGTTTGAAATACCGTGCAGGACAGTATTTGCAGTCGCTGTATTTCAAATACTTATGTGTAAAACGGCTAAGCTTTAGAGGCTCAAAAAATTTGGAAAAGTATGCGATGTTTGATGACAACAATGATGTCATTTTAATACATTTTGTGTTAAGTTTTTATTACCTTTTTCAAGCAATATCTTTCTGTCTCACCTCTGCCTTCTTTTTAGCTTGCTTTTACCCCTGTTTGAGCAGATGCTATAGAATAACAAGAAGTCTGAAACAAACGCAACTTTTGATCATTCAACTGTTGACTAAATCAAGACAACATAAGCATTTTCATTACTTAGCTCATAATAAATTGATCGGGAAGTAATGGGACACTTCGATTTTTTTGCAATTTCGGTAATTTTTTTTCTGGTAAACAATAAACAACCAGCAGTAAAAATATATTCGTATAAAGTAATCTTTGCAGGTGATCCTGGCAGCAACTTGCAGCTCATATCCTACAATCTTTGGCGCGGCGCTTCAAAAATTCAGACAAACTATTCAAATTTGTGATGCAGTACCTTGAAGCCCCTGGGCATATGACATACCATTCGAAAGTGCTTTCCAAAGATCTAAAAATCGCTTAAACCGGCAAAAAGTCTTCACATTTTATATAAAAGAGGCAGATTATCCATAAAAGTGCAATATTCGGCGCAGATTTTCAGGCTAGAAAACGTGTTTGGCCCACAATATTATGAAAGCGATGTTTTATCGAAATAAATTGTGTACCTATGGATAGAGCGTAAACAGCTCTACCAATATCATTTGTCAAAGGCGAGCCCATTCGATTACCTCAATGAGAAAATAAAGTCACTTAATACTCAACCCTATATTTCTGTTGCAAGCATTGGGAACATCAGGTTATCGTGAATCTGGTAACAGTCCCCTAACCCATTGCAGCACATTTATTTTTGGCAGCCTCACTTGTTTTACTTGGCGTTGCCGCTTCAAGTTCGAAATTACTTGAGTGACGAGCTCAGATTTTGAGCACTTATAAACACGACGCCATGCACAGTGCCTATTCAAAGAACTCGATCAGAATGTTTTGATATGTACTAACATCTCCCAAAACTTGACATCCAATTGTTTCTCTTTGAGAGAACTACCAATCTTTAAATGTATTACTTTCCGATCACCCATATACTTAGATATCCCGATTTTTGGTGGTAAAGCATGAGAAAGTTTACAGAATGCTGCGCAAAGTGGCCGACTGGTAACCTTATATCAGGCGAATCTGCTATGTTGAACGTACAGCAGGATCAAAGTCGAGCACTTTCTATGGAACAAGAATTTCACGAAGGATAGCAAGTAGTACTGACACTGCAGCATAATTTGAGCAAGAGAAAAGTAGCATAAGCGTCGACGATTCCGGCATTGGGACGTTGATGATTCGCCTCTACCAAGAGGTAGAATAAGTGTTTGAAATGTTTCTAACCGTTTGTTTGTATCTTCTTTTCAGTAATTCACACTTTATGAGGTTGTAGAGTAGACGAACAGACATTCAAGATCAATTAGTAAGTCTCAAACTCAGCCAAAATTTCATGATAAGAGGATGAGAAAAATCAACTGTTATTTTTGTAATCACTTGTAACACGAAGAACTGTTCAGACCAGTTCAGAGTTTTTCGAGTAAGAGTGAGCAACAATTTCAAAAAATTCAGCTTCTTCGTTGATCTACGAATATTACCGCTGGCCACAACTCCCATTAGCTCTTCTAGTATTTTAACAAATATTGGATATGCAGAGTAGTGCTACTCTTTGAGGCTTGAGTTCGCAGCCGATGATTCAGAAATCCCATATCTGCTTTGAAAAATTATCCTGGGCGGGGGGGGGGTCGGAATATTGATGACTTAGTATAAGCGCTTGAAAGAACCATTCATGCAAAGTCTGCTGGTATTTGCTATGTTTAATCATTTGAAAAAAGATTTTTTGATGAAAAAAGTATCAAAGTTATCTCAGTATGTATGAAAATTTTCTTTGATACATATTGAGACACCGAAAAATAAAAATATTCATTTTCTGGTTAGATCGCAAACTACAATCAATTTCTTATTACTGCGGCGAATAAATGAACGGAAGTATAAGCTTGTGTACAAGTCATACTTTGATTTTATGGACAAGCTCTCGTGCTTTGTTCCACCTCATTAGAAAGTGCTGATATTTCAAATCTTTTATTTTTTTTGAACATATTCTTATGGCAATATCCACCTATCTCACAAAAAATTGTGTGATTGACATAACTAATAGCTTTGTATGTACGTTAGAAAGTAAAGGATACAAGTCTACATTTTCGTTTCCATTTGCCTTCGTAGCCTTTGAGCGTAGGGTATTCAACCATTACGCGGCGCAAAGTGGAACCATTTAAAAGCATCAGAAAGTACTGATACAAGGTGTTTTATTTGGATCAAATGTTGGAGATTGGAATATGTTATGGAAAAAAATTCCACAGTTTTATTGCTAGATCGCAAACGTTGATGTTAAAATAAATGTGCGATCAACACTTTATAACAAAGCGTAGTATGTCCGTGCGATGTAGTGCTGACCGCACATGGTGTGGGCCCATTGAGCAATCAAGACGAGTTCAAAATGCTCCTTCTACTACAGAGTACCCCAAAAAGATGTGCACACTCTTCGATCGTTAATAACTCTCTTGCTTTCAAGTCTTTCGCCGAGCTTTGAGTACCATTCTATAAAGCGAGGTTCATCTTAAATTTGCAGTATGGAGCGAATCACCAATCACTCTTCATTACTTTGGGATCACGGTATAAACTTTCAACATGTGTAATAAGCCTTTTGATGAAATAAATTCAAAACTCTGAAAATTTGTGTGGCAAGGTTTTCAGGCGTACTCATTTCACT